CTTGGGAAGTCTGAAGATGGACCCCGGCCAAGAGAACTTGGGGAAGAAGTCCCGTGTGGTAATTATTGCGTTGAAATTAGGTGGGGATGAAAGACATTTCAGAGAGTCAGACAGCAGATGTCAGTTATTGATGACTAGCTTGATATTAAAAATGAGGATCTCCAAATAAAACTTCACTTAAGCTGGACATGTATTTGATCTCAGAGTTGTAGAGCTGAATAGTCTTAACCAGGTTAGATAGTCAACTCTCATGATGTCATAACTCATCATGGGTGCCTAGAAACCAAAAAGTACAAATATTAAAGGTTACACTATTACCGCACTAGATAATTCACTCTTGCTGAAAGGGCTCATCCATTTTTTTTTTTTCCAGCCAATTACAGGTGCTTACAAATTACCTATGCCAGGTACTTGCTAGATGTTAGAGATACAAAAGTGAGCAAAAATTGACCTGGGTCTTGCCCTCATAGAGTTTATAATTACAACTATAACTCTAAAAAGGGCTATTAAGAAAAGCTCAGTTGGGATGCCTGGGTGGCTCAGTTGGTTCAGCATCTGCCTTCAGCTCAGGTCATGATCCCAGGGTCCTGGGATCGGGTCCCCCATCAGGCTCCCTGCTTGGCGGGGAGCCTGCTTCTCCTTCTGGCTGCCACTCCCCCTGCTTGTGCTTTCTCTCTCTCTTTCTCTCTCCCTACCTGAAAAATAAATAAATAAAATCTTAAAAAAAAAAAAAAGAAAGCTCAATTGAATGCTTAAAGTATGTATCTGGAGGATAGACATGGTCAGGGAAGTGAGGCTTGTGCTGAGATTCGTAGGCTAGGGGTTCAAAGACTAAGCAGGAGAGTGAACACTCAAGGCTTTGTACGTTGTTAAGGATTTTGATCTTTTTTTGAAGACTAGTTGGAAAACCATTGCATTTTTTTGTTTGTTTATTTAAGTAAACTCTACCCACCACCTGGGGCTCAAACTCATGACCCTGAGATCTAGAGATGCATACTTTACCGACTAAGCCATCCAGATGAACGCTATCGTAATTTTTAAGTAGGAGACTTGAATCTTGAAAAGATTATTCTGGATGTTGATGGAGAGCAGATTGTAGATGGGTGAGAGAGGGTTCAGAGACACCATTTAGAAAGCTACTGTAGCAATTCCAAGCAAGACACAGTAGCTTTGACTAAGGAAGTACTCCACTTCCTCCCCTGAATAGCTGCATTGTCTTTTTCCCCCCCATGCTCACGGATTGGAAGAACATTGTTAAAATATCTATGCTACCCAGAGCAATCTACACATTTAATGCAGTCCCTATCAAAATACCACCAGCATTTTTCAGAGATCTAGAACAAACAATCCTAAAATTTGTATGGAACCACAAAAGACCCCGAATAGCCAAAGCAATTCTGAAAAAGAAAACAAAGCTGGAAGCATCATGATTCTGAATTTCAAGCTATATTACAAAGCTGTAGTCATCAAGACAGTTTGGTACTGGCACAAAAACAGACACATAGATCAATGGCACAGAATAGAGAACCGAGAAATGGACCCACAGCTATATGGTCAACTAATCTTTGACAAAGCAGGAAAGAATATACAATGAAAAAAAGACAGTCTCTTTGACAAATGGTGTTGGGAAAACTGGACAGCAACACGCAGAAGAATGAAACTAGACCACTTTCTTACACCATACACAAAAATAAATTCAAAATGGATGGAAGACCTAAATGTGAGACATGAAACCATCAAAATCCTAGAGGAGAGGGGCTCCTGGGTGGCTCAGTCGGTTAAGCCTCCAATTCTTGATTTCAACTCAGGCCATGATCTTGGGGTTGTGAGATTGAGCCCCACTTCACCCTTGGTGCTGGCAAGGAGCCTGCTGGTCCCTCTCTCCCTCTGCTCTCCCTCCCTCCTTCTCTCTTTCTCAAATAAATACATAAATAAATAAAATCTTGGGGTGCCTGGGTGTCTAGTTCGTTAAGTGACTGCCTTTGGGTCAGCTCATGATCCCAGAATCCCAGGATCAAGTCCTGCAGCGGGCTGTCTGCTTCTCCCTCTGACCCTCCCCCTCCCCTCTCTTGTGCTCTCTCACTCTCGCTCGCAAATAAATAAATAAAATCTTTAAAATAAATAAATAAATAAATAAATAAAATATTTTTAAAAATCCTAGAGGAGAACGCATGCAGAAACCTCTTTGACCTCGGCCGTATCAACTTCTTATTAGATACGTCACCAGAGGCAAGGGAAACAAAAGCAAAAATGAACTATAGGGACTTCATCAGATAAAAAACTTCTGCACTTCGAAGGAAACAATCAATAAAACTAAAAGGCAGACTATGGAATGGGAGAAGATATTTGCAAATGACATATCTGATAAAGGGTTAGTATCCAAAATCTAGAAAGAACTTACCAAACTCAACACCCAAAAAAACCAAATAATCCAGTTAAGAAATGGGCAGAAGACATGAATAGACACTTTTCCAAAGAAGACAACCAGATGGCTAACAGACACATGAAAAGATGCTCAATATCACTCATCATCAAGGAAATACAAGTCAAAACCATGATGAGATACCATCTCACACCTGTCAGAATGGTTAAAATTAAGAACACAAGAAACATCAGATGTTGGCGAGGATGCAGAGAAAGGGGAACCCTCTTGCACTGTTGGTGGGAATGCAAACTGGTGCAGCCACTCTGGGGGAACAGTCTGGATGTTCCTCAAAAAGTTAAAAATAGAACTACCCTACAATCCAGTAATTGCACTACTAGGTATTTAAAAGTTATGTTTTCATCTAATAATATCTTAAAAAAATTTTTTTGAGTATAGTTGATATGCAATGTTATGTTAATTTCAGGTGTACAACATAGTGATTCAACTTCTCTATGCATTATGCTATCCTCACCACAAACTTATATTGCTTTTATAACCAGTGGAAAAAAATGGTATGATTCTTTAACACACCCACCCCCCAAAAAGGCCCTAAATTATACTGAAAGCAGCACTATAGTGAACTGCATTCTATTTTGCTTTTAGACTTTTAAAAATATCTATTTTGGGCCACTGGGAATAACATGATTTTTTTTTAAGTTTCTACACTATGTTTTTAAGTCACTGTAGAGAACAGAGCAGAATATAAAAATGAAATCAGTTCTTTGCTAAGTCAAAAAAGCAAGCCAAGCTGAACCACAAATAACACATTTCCATCTATTTTTGTCCCATGTAGAATTAGCTATTTGGTTGGACATTGAACATTTGCTTGAATGCTGCAATGCTGAAAATTTCTTCAGTGTCCTTAGACCACATTCATATAGTTAACAGCCTACACTGGCAAAAGGAAGGAAGACCTGCAGGCAGGCTATTGCATCTTGAGCTCTTACTCATTCAAAGAAAGATTCAGCGATACATTTTTTTTTTTTTTTAATCAGAAAGAGGCTGCATCTGGAAGACAATAAAAGACACCTTAAGCGAGAGAGACCATGAGTGGGTTAAAAATCATACAGAGGGTATTTGCAATGCATTCTTTGAGGATGTATACAGAAAAGCCTTAACAAGTTAAGCTGTTAATGATTTAAAACTAGCCATTTGGGCACTAATAAAGTACAAAAGCCAAGGCAAATCATTTAATCCTTTTAGTGCCCCAACAGACACTCTGTCTAGGTACAAAGGATTGTCTTTGAAGGCTTCATAATTTAGTATATTCTCTACTGTATTGCACACTCAAATAATTTCCCCCCCTTGTGCAATTTCAAACCAAAGTAATATTAAAAAAGAAAAAAGAGAAATGATTGGATTCCTTTCTCTCTCACATATTCTATGATGGTGTATCACGAGAAAAGCCTTTCTTCAGAGTACCTACTAAGGGGGTGGGGACCTAAACCAAAGAAGTCAGAAGAGGACCACTTGTTCCACTTTAGGAAGGGAAAGAGACCCAAAGACGAAGATCCTGGGGGAGAAAGAGGAGGAGGAGAAGTGAGAGTGTCAAAGACAAGGAGGGAAGTTAAATAGAGTTGAGAAAGAGAAATACGTGAGGTTGATGTTTAAGTAACTTTAGGGAGAAAAAAATGTGCAGAAATATTTAAAAGGTGCTGCTAGTGCTGTATTATAACCACTTCTCTGTCTCCCTTGAAACCTTCAGTAAAAAATTATTACTCACTAATATTTTTACAGTAAGATTTCTGTTGTTTAGGTGAAATGACATTTGACAGTGGCCTCTGTGGGGAGTCACAGAGGGCCAAGGAATGTCAGGTACATTCATGTTGCAGGTTAGAGAGAGCAAAGGGGACTCCTTTCTCTCATGTTTATTTTCTACGAGTGTAGGGGAAGAAGTTTTCCTTAACCCTCTTAGGGCCCCTGGCTGCATCGGAAAATTAAATGACAAAGAGACAGAGTAACAGGAGAAAAGCACAGAAATTCATTTAATGTAAGTTTTATGTGACATGGGAGCCTTCATATGGAAATGACCTGAAGAAACAGTTAGACCCGAGTACATTTATGCTAGGCTTGATGAGGAGTGATTATTCCTTTTTGTTGTGAAACAAGGTTGATGAGATGGAGATCACAGTGTCAGTCCTAGATTAAATAGAACTGGCAGGGAAGATTTCTTGGAGGAGCTAATATTTAAACTGAGGAACTCATATTTGAGGTCTAAAGGAAGACAAAATGCTAGTCAAGTGAGATGACCATGAAAAACAATTCCATTGAGGAGAAGAGCTTATATGAAGGTCTTGAGAAAGGAAAAGTGGTTTTGAAGATGGCATTACAATGGTACCTCCTTATCCTTGGGGGATACATTCCAAGACCCCCAGTGGATGCCTGAAACCGCAGATAGTACTATACACACCATGTATTTTTCCTGCACATACATTCCAGTGGTAAAGTTTAATTTATAAATGAGACACAGTAAGAGATTCACAATAACTAATAATAAAATAGAACAATTATAACAATGTACTGTGATAAAAGTTATGTGAATGTGGTCTCTCTCAAAATATTGTATCGTACTCACCCTTCTTCTCATGATGAGGGGAGATGATAGCATGCCTCCATGATGAGGTGAGGTGAGATGAATGATGTAGGCATTGTGATGTAACGTTAGGCTACTACGAGCCTTCCGGTTATCCATCAGAAGAACGATCATCTGTTTCTGAGCCTTGGTTGACTGTGGGTGACTAGAACTGTGGAAAGCATAACTAAGGAAAAGAAAAGACTATTGCATCTGAGGAAGGGGACATAAGAGACTGGAACTGAATTCAGAAAGCTGAGAGCTGGGCTTTGAGTAGTCCATTCTGAGCCATAAACCAACCCCTGTGAGTAAGGTACTGTGAATAATATGGGAGGAATGAGGGTGAGGTGCTAAGAGAGGAAAGGAGATAAGAACCCAAGAAGGGGGGGGTGACTCTCCTTCATATTCCATAGAAGAAAGACTTGTAGAAATTGATTTTCCTGATTGAGGTTCCCTGAGGGTACCACTTTTTTCTACACCATCAGGTAATTCACAGGTGATTCCTGTGATTAGTGACATCAGGACAAGCCATTGGAAGCAGGAACAGTGCACTGAGAAAGGGGTCCAGAGTCATACACCATCAACTGTGGGTGATACGCTCTGCTGGTGACAGGGTTTATGAAACAGGTCATGACCCTATGCACTGCTGACTGAGGAAGTGTCCTTCTTGCAGACCCCACTCTCTCTAGAGATGGTTTGGAAGGCCTACATAAGAGGGGAATTGGGAGAGACATTAATTTAGCCTCAGGCTAAAGCCACTTTACCTCAGCATAGTTTACAAGGAAACCCTCCCTCCATCTGCTTTCTAATGGGTTGGAACTTGAAGGGGAAGGTAGGGAAGAGATCAACCCCAGACTTTCAGCAGATGGATTTTGGTTAGATATGTGAATGAATATCTTGAAATAGAGTTCTATTAGTTCAGACTATTAATTACAAAGACAAAATTCAACTCAAACTAGCTTACGCAAAAAAAAAAAAAAAAAAAAGTGGTTTATTGGCTCACATACTGGGAAGAACAGAAGTATGTGTTAAATCAAAGTTTCTGCTTCTCATTTCTCATCTCTATTTGTCTTTGCTTCATTCTCTCACTTCATATCTTGGCTTCATATCTTCATTCTTGGTGCCCTCACCCTTTCTCCATGTGGTAGGGAATAGCCCCAGCCCAGTACCCCAGCATAACTACCCCACTTTTCTCTCCAAACTTGTATACATCAGATTCTAGGGAGGGTCTCTGGTTGGCCATCCTTGGTCAATCCTAACCTCTGAGCCAGTCACTCTGGTGGGACTCTAATTGGCCAGATCCCAGTTGTAGGCCCACCCATGAGTCCAAGGCTATTATTGTGATTCAAAGTCCTATAAACTAGAAAGGGTTAATTCTCCAACACCAAGGATACTGAAGAGACAAAACTGACAAAATTCAGAACAGTAAGGAAAGTTAAGAATAAATTATTTTTACAAGAGCAGCACAAAAGAAGCATAAAAATTGCTACAATCCAGCATGACCTTCCTCTACCAGCACTCGATTAACTTACTCATCTCAAAGAGTAACTTTCTCATGAAATAAAACTCAAGGTATTGAGAAAATGCAGCAGGACAGGAAATAATCTTGTTCTCCGCAGAGGTGTAAAGAAGGGTAAGAACTGGAAGTGAGTTCCCCTACTGAATTAAAAAGCCATTGAGGGGTGCCTGGGTGGTTCAGTTGGTTAGGTGTTTGACTGTTGATTTCAGCTCAGGTCTTTAACTCAGAGTCATGAGTTCAAGCCCTGCATTGGGCTCCATGCTGGGCATGGAACCTACTTAAAAAAAAAAAAAAGCATTGAAAGGGACAGATAGAGCTCCTGTTGCTGGAACTAAGTTTATCTCCAGAAGGTATAGTAAAAGATAGCAGGCTACAATCCAGGAAAGCAAGGGTTCAATACAAAGAAGTTGGAAGGTCTCAGATAGTAGATGTTGAATGCTTCTCCAGGTAGATCTCCAGGTATTCAGGCTGAGGTTATAGTGCATACCTTCAGTCCCCGATTTGGTAAGAACAAAGACTGATAAGAACAAGGCACGGCCTTCAGGTCTAGAGACAGTGTGGTTCTCAGCAGGTTTCCTAAGTCAGGGATTCAGGCACAAGAAACAGACAAAGGTGTCGTTTTAAGAACTGATTACCAGAAAGTGTGGGCTTGGAGAAAATTCAGACACCCAGTTATTGGAACATGAGATTAGAGCTGGTCTAGTAGTATAACTTTTTGTGCCAAGTTTCTGAGTGATAGGCAGGAGTCCCTTTCAGAAGCTGAGATTTATTTAAGGGGTTGATATCTGTGGGGAGAAGGAGGATATAGAAATGGGAAGTTAGGCAGGTTCTGACAGATACAAGGAAAGATTATTTACTATGCAAGTTTAATTGAGTGTGTTTTGATCAGATCAGGTCCCAGAGCTTTATCAAAGTATACAAGGGAGATGTTTTTAAAAGAGGTAGAGTCCACATCTGATTTGAAGCACCCAGGGCTGTGAGAATATCATGACCAACAGATATTGGGTACAATGTTGGGGCACATTTGGATAAGAATAAGTTGAGATCTTATATTCATCTCCAAGATGTGCTTCTCTGTGTGAAGCTGTATGGATAAAGATCTGGCTTCAATTTCAAGCTGCAAACCTAGCACCATTTATTTACAAATTAAAAATACAAACATACATCCAGTAATGTACATAATACTGTGGGTTAAATTTTTGTCCTTATTAAACTCTAGGTAAGCCATCCAACACTTCAATGGACAATTTTCTCAAGTGTGTTCTTCTTAAAACCATTGAATTTTATTTAGTCTCCTATAGCATGAAGAACTTTGACTCCTAGGGGTAAATCTCATGCAAGGGACCATCTGTTCCTTTTGGGGGTGGGGGAGTCTTCTTTCATCCTTTCCATTTGAAAGTTAATTGCTTTCGCATTGCACAGGATTCTGGTGGGCTTGTCAGTTGCAAGGGCTTATGAAGGAGGCTGCCCAGTCAGAGTACTTAATTCCCCTAACACACACTTGGTCCAAGAGGGAGCAGGTGACATAATCTAAGTTCCTTCCAAAGATTGATGTAAATCCTGGGGCAGCAAGAGTTGCCCTCTTTTCTTAGGAATTGCACGTTGTGAAAATACTATTTGGTGGGTTATCTTTGCTCCTGTGTGAAGAAAGCCTACCTGAAAATGAAGCCACACAGGAAAACAAAACAAAACAAAAAACAGAAGCAAGATGGAGAGACACCAAGAGAAATGTGGGAGAGATCTAATGACATGATTTGCCTTCTAGAACCAGTTATGCTCAAAGCAGGCCTTATTCCTTGGACTTACCATTCCTGGGAGCCTATGCATTCTCTTTGTTGCTTAAATTAGACTAAGTGGAGTTTCTGTCACTTACAATTGAAAGGATCCAGACATCGAAAAATCAACAATTCAGGGGCACCTGGGTGGCTCAGTTGGTTAAGCATCTGACTCTTGATTTTGGCTCAGATCATGATCTCAGGGTCTTGGCATCAAGCCCAGCAACAGGCTCCGTGCTCAGTGGGGAGTCTGCTTGAGATTCTCTCTCCCTCTGCCCTCCCCCATGGCTCACTCTCTCTCTTAAAAAAGAAAAAAACAACATAAGAAAAATCAACAATCCAACCACATGGAGTCTCACAGCGCTATTTCTAGCCATGGTTGCTACATGAATACTGACCAGAGGTAAGTGTTATTATTTCCATGATTCATTGTTTATATATAACACCCAGCGCTCCATTCAATACGTGCCCTCTTTAATACCCATCACCAGGCTAACCCATCC